CTATTTGAAACGCTGCGTTCTATATATTCATTCTTTCATTCAAACTATTTGCAAGCGTATTTCATATCATGTATGCATTTTTATACAGTAAAGAGATAAGGAAAGTTGATAGCACGGTAATCTTTTTTTAAACTTCTTGCAACTACGAGACTTGTATGTTCAATGCCCTTCAGAGCTTCCAAAACACCAACAACGAAGAGCTGAACAGAAAACTAATGAAGATTGAAAAACAGAGCAGTTATGTGAAGTCCCATGAAACAGCGGCTGAAGAAAAACGACTTTGCCCCCAATTCAGACCCTTTGTTTGCAACTCTCTGTGACATTTGAAATGAAATGACTGATAAATATGTCCAAAACTAAATTGAATTGATGCCCAAAGGTTTCGTGCACAACACAAAGCCAATGGTTCCTAAGCAAAATAACAATGAACACAATTAGTGTTGAGTCGAAGTTTTGTGAGGAATCTGAGATTGCTCTGTTTTCCGTTATATATGTTTGAAACTATCGAGACAAAATATCGTAATAAAATATTGTTTATTGCAAAGACACAATTCTCCATTCATTGGGCATTCAATATATCGCCATTCGATCAATATTGATACTCTTCAATAAATGCGCAAAGACAATTTTATTTTACGTTTCTTTGATTTCGCAAAATTTTGCCAAGCCTTATTTTTTTAAGGTCAATTTTGAGTGACAATATCTCGGGCGTCTCTTAAAATAGATTAAATATTAATATGTCAGCTGATGAAGAATTTATTTTGCTTTAAATTGGTATGCTGCATGAGTGGGTAATGCAAGGCTTTAACACGATGACTGGGTGATTACATTTTCAAGTTTCTTTTGGACGCCACGGTATAACGGACTACGTTTACAGTAAGTTTTGCACGTTCAAACTTTCAGGATTTTTCTCTCAAATTGGGCTCTTTCAGAGGGGGGGGACACAAAAAACTATCATGCGAAAAGTTGTTAAGATATCGTCATAATTTTCAGTATACTGATTGATGAAACATTATTCCAGTGTAATAAGTAGTGACGTCAAAAAAAAATCTTGAATAAATGATTTTTATTATAAATTTAATCCATTGTTTGGATCTGAGATTTTTGTGGTCAAAATATTCCCATATTTAGGACCTCGATTCTGGAAAAGTTTTTCCTCCTACATCAAAAATGCCAAGTCCATCCTCTAAAACAGCCACGGTAGGATGCAAAACCACTTATTGTAACATTTAAAATCATCATGTATAACCTTATGATAGATTTTTTAGAAATGTGTGCATTTTCTATATATGACATTCCTATGGCAGGCGTTACCATAGCAATACAAAAGAATTTTCAAAATTTTACTTCATGACTTAATTCTCCACTCTTTTTATACTGATGCTACTCAATGATGCTACCACATTTGTAAGCTTAGTTTCTTCTTCTTAACGAATTTCAAAATTTCCCCCGCATCATGCCTTAAACCGGCAGTGGACGCTCCGTCTAAACGAAGCTTGAGTGCCATGAACGTAGCCTCAACAGCGCCTGCAAACTGCATTCAGGCCGCCGTGAACGTAGCCTGCCAACTACATTCACGGCGGCGTGAACCTAGCCTGAAGACTACGCTCACGGCGCCGTGAACGTAGCCACTACGCAGTGAAAGTAAATTAATTTGGTCGTCTACAAAGATGCTACGGCTATTTAACTTTTCGAATCGAGCCAAACTACGCGGGTCGCCATTTTGTTTTGCCCAGAAGTTCTCGCGCTACTCCTCTAGGCTCTATCTATCTCTCTCTCTCTCCACTTCCCACAGACAAAATTGTACGCTTTAAGTAGGCCTAGGCCTAGGCTAACAGTAGTAGTAATGGAACGTTTGTTCACGGCACAGAATTCTACAATTTTTCTGTTATCACAGTGTAGAATTCTGTGGTTTAGGGTGAACGCAAAATTGGTTAGCCTAGATCTAGGCTATAACAGTGAACGGACAGCGGGTGAGAATAGCCAAAAGACTCGCTTGCGCTACGGCTACGGGTGAGAATAGAGGTGGCCTTATTAAGTTTTATTAACTTACCCGCCGTAGGCTATAGATTCTGGATCTATTCTCAGTTCACTTTGCCACCACCTTTTCCCTGAACTTTGGCAACAACACTGACTAAACTAAAACTAAACAGACCCGAGGACGTATCAGCAGCAGAGGGAGTTTCGTATAAGCAGTCGAGCAGTTGATAAAGTCTATATAACTAAATTGTCTCACGACTAGGTTCTAATAAGGCCTACTCCTACTAATCACCAGGAACTTCCGGGTGGATGTTGATGTTGGATGTTGTGTACTGTGCAATATCAGTTTCGACGAGACAAGATAACACAAGAATAGATGACGTCATAATCTGAATATGTTTTGTCAGCTTAAAATGAAATTAGATCTAAAAATCTATATAATTTGGCTTTTCTAAATAGGAAAACTTCGTGAATTTTTTTAAATCGTAATTTATATATTTCCAAATGTTTCTTTCAAGTAGATCTAGATCTAGATCTAGATTATAATTTTTGACGAAAGTGGAATAATACGACATAAAACGGAAACGTTTGTTTTCGTTCGTGACACTAGGCCTGAAATGTCTATTCGCTCTTTTGCATTGTGAATTCTTTGGTATTCCTTGAAATTGTCTTTTGTCTCATGTCCCAGGGAACCAATGTTGTGGTCACTTCATTGTTTTCCGTTCCAGTCGTTGTGACATCTAACGGTACTACTGATTTTGGTGCAAACCAATGATTGGTGAGTGAGCGTTATGAAATGTTTTGTGATGGTATGTTGTGTGTGTGTGTGCTGTGCAGGGCTCCCCTTTTCATTTTTGACTTTGATTTTCAGAGGTTCTTTCACCCTCTGGTTTGCTATCTTAAAAGGGGTAGTGATCTAATCTAGATCTATATCTAGATCTAGATTATCTAGATCTAGAATCTAGATCAAGATTCTAGGTCTTTTTAAAGCCTTGTTGGTTGTTGTTGCTGTTTTTATGGCAGGCGCTTTTTGCAAGAAAGTGGCTATTCTCACCCGCCGGAAGTTCTCGCAAGATCAACTCCTCCCCTCTTCTCTCTCTCTCTGTCTCTTTTTGATTACTGTCTATCGGTGTGGACGATCAAATTGACCAAAACAAAGTTAAAAAATGATGTTAAAACACAAAAGTAAATTAATTTGGTTGTCTACAAAGATGCTACGGCTATTTAACTTTTCGAATCGAGCCGAACTACGCGGGTCGCCATTTTGTTTTGCCCGGAAATTCTCGCGCTACTCCTCTCTCTCTTTCTCTCTCTCTCTCCACTGCCCACAGACAAAATTGTACGCTTTTAGTAGGCTACAGTTGTAATGGAACGTTTGTTCACGGCACAGAATTCTACAATTTTTCAGTTATCACAGTGTAGAATTCTGTGGTTTAGGGTGAACGCGCACCGGGTGAGAATAGCCACAAGACTCGCCTGCACTATTCTCACTCTGGGTGAGAATAGAGGTGGCCATTTGCAACGCTGTGTTCTTTGGGCTATTTGAAACGCTGCGTTCTATATAGTTAGGCCGTCTTTCTCGAGTCCGAATAACATTTTTTCATATTCAGTCCGAATAAAAAATTTCATATTCGGACTCGAGTCCAAATATGAAAAAATGTTATTCGGACTCGGGTCCGAAAAAAAGGAAGTCTTCGTTCTATAGATCTAGAATCTAGATCTAGATTAGATCTAGATCTAGATTCGGTAAATTTTTACTTTCACTCCCGCACACAGATGCACTGTTTCAGGGGTCAAACTGCTGTACTGTTTGCTGCAGATCACACATAAAGCCACTAAAACTGTCGCAAAGCAATTATTTTCAAGACAATTTCAAATCTAACTGTAAAATATCAAACTATGGGTAAAAACAGGGGGGCATGCCCCCCTGTAACCACCCAGATTTTCTTTTACCCCAGTGGGGCAGGCCCTCCTGGAACCCCCCGATTGGTCCAAAGCATGTCTATCTCGGTTAAAAACAATCAAATATTTCAAAAACTATTAATTTGCGACGGAAATGAAGTTGATATTCGTGTTCAGCGCATCAATATTTAGTACAAAATAGACAATTGGTAGCTGAGTGTGAGACGGGAGGGAAAGTAAAAAAATACCCTAGATTCTAACGTTCAGTGCTTCCAATTTTCCGCCACTTTTTAGTTTCTTCCACACCTTATCTGCTGATCCGATGCCCGCCGCCTCATTGATATGCCCCCCCCCCTCCCCCCCATGTTTCCCACTTTGTTTGTTGTAGAAAAAGGTAAAATTGAATATTAGCAGACCACCTGGCACCTGCATATATATATTATGAGCTGTGAAAAAAAAAAAGACCAATTCCGTTCAAATACACAAGCCTGTGTCATCTCGATTGTTTACCAAGAAAAAGTTGTGTTGCTGTGTAGAGCCGAGCATACGGCAACTTTTGATTCCACAGACCAGCGCACAATTCATCTACGTCAAGACTAGCTTATTATTGTAATAATGATCAGTTGCCGGGGGAAAAAAGACTGACACGTATGCGACGTTCCTATAGTAAATTAAAATAATTATCACTCGTAAATAAGTGCCCGTTCGGTATTCTTTTACTTTCCCTCCCGTCTCACATCTAGCTACCAGTTGTCCATATTTCATATTGATACGCTGAACGCGAATATCAACTTCATTTCCATCGCAAATTAATTAATAGTTTTACTGTAGTTTGACCACCAAAGCAGTGCATCAGTTTGTGGGAGTGAAAGTAAAAATTTACCCCCCCCCCCCGTTCAAACTGGACAACTCCATCAAATAGCAGGATCATTTCTGCGCTAGTGTCAGAAGTAGGATCATCATCTTCAATCATCAAAGCCTTTCATCCCTAGCAGGTATGGTGGTCATTGTCTGTGATCACTTGGCATTGGAAAACTCCACACCTTGCGGCGAGTTCAGCTCAATGATGCAACCCACCGCAGGGGATCAAATGACAAATAATTTATTCCAGATTACTATCAAAATTTGCCATATATATATATATATATAATAGCACATTCTCAAAAGAGTAGGCTTTTCATGTCGCCCAAGGTGCATGCTCTTAGCTGGAGACCACTGTAATTACATGAACAGTCAGTCACTACTCACTGCTGTATAGTATTGCTCCTACTGTCCAATTGGACAGCCTGCTGAGAAAGATGATTTAGACACTATTTTTGGTTTCAATCAAGCTCAGTCTCAAATTCAAGTCAGTCAAATTTAGCAGACAATTTTTCACTCTAGGCTTCAGGTGGTGGGTTTTCAGGGTCATTATTTTTCCTGATAGAAGTGTAGTTTAAAGCTTCAAACAAGTTAGACTGATGAGTAAAAGATAGATGTGCATGAGTCACAAGTGTGTGTGAATGGTGCTGTACAGTCATGTTTTATTTATTATTAATTTTATACAAGCGAAACTGCCCTTTCTTTCTGTTTTCAGATATCTTTTTTCACCTAAAACTGACTGATGCATCGAAGAATGCTTTTCAAGATTGGAGTGACATTTGTGGTTGGAGTTGGAATTTTACTGTTTTATTTAGTTCATGTGGAGCATGAGAACAAGCCTGATCATCCGTATTACGCCCAGAAAAAAGTTGGTAACAGCCAATTTCCTGTTGAGGAAACGTCCAACACTGTGGATTCCGACTTCTCTGTCAAAGTGGTGCTTTCTGAAGTGGTTCGTGATAAACCTGTTGAAGCAGATTTCCCAACCTCTTCCAGTGGCGGAGCTTCCCAACACTCTATACAAGATATCATTCCAATTGGCGATAGAAATTCAGATAGAAATGTTCGATATTCATCTGAGAAGAAATTTGGGGATGAAGTTGAGCCAAGTGTGATGAGAAAAGACCATGCTGAGGAAAATGTTGCAGAGATGCATAAACTGAGCCCTGTATTTCACAGGTACTGTGGTCATTTGTTGTTATTGTAATCATGGATGCCAACAAGATATTCTGAGTCTACTTGCAACCCTATAGTTCTGACTGAGCTTCGATCTTACATGTTTGATGCTTTAAATAATTAATTTGCTGTGCAACTTTCTTCTAATAATACTGACTGTCATGATGAATAACATCAGTATATCCTGATGATACATTTTTAATGGAAGATAAGGAGGTCAGCGCTCAAAAAGCTCATGAGCGTAATATTCACAAGTTTGTTGTTCGAACAGGCAGGGCACTTCCCGATTGGTTTGAAATTAACAAAAGGAAAGAAAGAAGAATTACAAGTTACTGTAAAGTGAGTATGACACTTGTAAGTTTGAGCACAGGTGTTTGTAAGTAGTATTATTCACTTAGAGAAGTTTTTTGGCTATGCTCAGTGTTCAGGTATGTCTGTTGTTTCTGTTTGTCTGTTTTGCTTGTTCCCAACACTAAATGACCGTTATTGGGTCAATGTGCTTATCTTCACTCAGACAGACTCATGCTTCCAGCGTTCTTTGGTGTCTGTTCCGAGTCATTTTGCTACATTAAGAGTTTTTCACATTTCAACAGCAAACAGCCACTGGGTTTTGCCATTCACTTATGCGTCGTGGCTTGTGGGAATCGCTCAGAGGAAGTGATGACAATGCTGAAGTCAGCTGTTCTGACAACGCCTCATACCGTGAATCTTGTGTTCCACATCATTACTGAACCGAGTCTTCAAAGCTATTTTAAAGATCATGTAAGAGATGTCCAATGGGTCTGTTGTGACTATGATTAGTTTCAAGACTTAATTAAAATCTATGTTTATTGCTGAGCTCTTCTGTGGTAAATCCCATCCCATTCTTTTTACATTACTTGAGTGTTTTCAAGAAAACAAAACTATTATTTGTTTGTCTAATAACTTTAATACTTTTATTTATTTACGTAATTTAGCCAAAATATTTTTGTTTTATGATTATTTTCCTCTTTGGAATTTGGAGGAAGTTCACCACTGTAGTGCTCAGCTTTGGAATTTCACCGAATCAATCTAAGATCGCAGGCTGAAAAAGATTAAAAAGAACTCGGCAGTCGTTCCTATTTCACTCTTAGGTCAAGTCTCTAGTTGCAGATTACGTTAAAGTTATTTTTCTTTGTAGATGAATGGTTTGGGTTTTACAATATTAACGGAAAGAACGTGGGTGGGATCTATGTCTTGAGAGAATTCCGTTCTTTAGCTCTGAATGGGTTAATATCTATGTCTGCTCAAATATTTGAATGAAAATAGAAAATAATATATCCGTAAGAGTTTTGAAGGGAGGTTTGTTATGGTCACCTTTGCCTTCTTAGGGAACCAAGCTAAGTTAACAATAGGATTTATATCTTTTAAGGGCTTATCATAGGAACACTGTTGTTAAGAATAACTATAACAGCAACATGATAGAAGATGTTATTAACAAAAGCAAAGAAAATAAAGATGTAAGGAGTTAAAAACTTCATTTTGTGACCAGTAGAAGGTTATGTGTATGTAAGATGCTGTCCCTTTTATCTGCTTTTTGTTTTCATACATAGATTACAGGCATCGGATATGCTGTACCCTTCCACACTTTGCAGAGGGCAAGAGTACGAGAGTGAATTTTTCTTTTTTTCTAATCCCCTCCCCACCCCTTCTTCTCGCTTCTAGCTGGAGTTTTGGCCGCGGGCTTACACGCAGTCCCTGTCTTTCAACATCTACAGCGTCACATTTCCAGAAGATACCACCAAAGATGCATGGAGGAAGTTGTTCAAGCCCTGTGCCTCTCAACGGCTTTTCTTACCTGTGGGTACTTACAATACATAATAATGATAATATTACATTGACTACCCACTGTCTGTCTCCCGTCATAACTGAGTTCACTGACTACCCATTTATTGCCATCTGTCATGGATGGTTGCGGGTGGTCTGGTGGGTTTTTTTGCTGTTTTATTTTTTTCTTGTTCGGAGCTTAGTGTAACAAAATTCATTCTGTGTCGAGAATATAGATATAGAATGGTCAAAAGTTGCCCTCTTTTTTCCTCCTTTTGGGAATTTTGATTTGTAATAACTTACATACCTAATGACCTACCTACTTACCTACCGACCATCCTTCCACCAAAGTTTTTTTTCCTGTCAAACGTCTGTCTCCGTTCTTCTTCTCCTTCTTTCATGTGTTTGGTACTCTCTTGTTAAACTCTAATCATCGGTACTTCGATGACCTTATTGTGTTTCAAACGCCGTAAAACTCTTATGAAAACTAAAAATTAAACCGTCTCCAGTCATTGCTGACTTCAGTGGACAGCCTGATCTATGTGGACACGGACGTGCTGTTCCTGCAGTCGGTGGCTGACCTGTGGTCTCGCTTCAGTTTGTTCAATGCGACGCAGCTGGTGGCTCTGGTGCCAGAGAGTGAGGACTTTCAGACCGGCTGGTACAACCGCTTCGCCACGCACCCATACTACGGAGACCTCGGTAAGGATTTGTTGTCACCATCTGAGGTTTAACATTTTAAAAAATTAATTTATTGCTTGCATTTTATGACAATTTTGTATTCAGGATCTTTTATCTTCACTACTTTAAAATACAGTTGGGCACAGACAACACGAATACAGAAAACTTAAAAAATCATGTTTTGCTCTTATAATTTTCCATTCCATCCATGACTGACATCTCTTTCATTTCTCACTGCATCGGTTTACCCGAATTATGGATGTGTCGAACTCATTTTGTGGATCAACTAATCATTTGTTTTTTACTATGTCCATCACTCTAATGTATATAATGCATTTTGTCACAAAATCCTCTGTATATTTCTTATCTTTTTGAATGATTTAAATCGCAACGAATCAGTTCCAGTGTCTGTAGTGTAGTGGTTGGACTCTTGGCTTTTTTATCAAGAGAGATGAGTTCTGTTCTCAATTGGGGAAGTTTTTTTTTAAATCTAGTATCTCCATTTTTTAATCGAGTATCTCCATATGTCAGGGGTGATGTTGTAGTCCACTCAGCCCTTGTTAGGCGGAGTCAAAGTAGCCTGTCTTCTAAATGAAATCCAAATTGTGTCAATAGGGGTGTATAACAGTTACAGTTTCTAACAAGGAATACTTTCTCTTATTGCCGTCAGGTGTGAACTCACCTGTTTTTGTGATGTAGTAGTCAGAAGCTTCGATGTCACACAAGAGACCCAAGTTTGATTCCAAACTGGGGAGAAATTTTAATTGAGTATCTCGGTCTTTCTGCTGGGATGTTGCATCCCTCTCAGCTCGGGTTGTTTGGCCTTGACAGGCAGGGTTGTAAGCCGGCCTCCAGAATGATCTAAATTGTTTCAGAGTGAGTGTAAAACACTTACAGTTTCTAACAAAGACTACCTTCTGTTATGGACGTCAGGTGTGAACTCTGGTGTGATGTTGATGAACCTGACACGTCTGCGGAGCACGCGCTGGCACCTGGACATGCCTGAGCTGTACAACAAGTACCGGCTATCGATTCCCTGGGGGGACCAGGACCTCATCAACATCTATTTTGCCAGACATCCAGGTATGTGCTTCTTCTATTTGCTGCCTACTGCCGCCGCCTTTTCAGGTGGCTCTTTATTATTATGCTGAAAGGAGGTTGTGTAGAATTTAGAAATGTGTGGTTGACGAGCGGTCTAGTGTATTTTGCTCCTTCTTGTCTATCTAACATGTATCGTCTTTATCTCTCCTCCTTTTTTTGTATGTTACTCTCAAGTAACACCCTCTAATCTTTGGCACTTATTGACCTATTTGTGTTGCAAGTGCAATAGAACTCTTTCTAAAACTATACTAAACTAAGAATTCAGAAGTCTTACTATCCTGTGTTCTCTCTTTTCTGTGCTGCAGTTGATTACAGAGAACTCTTAACCCTATGAGACACGTTCCCCTGAGCCAATGGGGCCCCTGCACATCCTGTCAGAAAACAAGATTTTGACCCCTTTGCCCTGAAATGTCTCTGAATTATTATTTTCTAAGACCGAAGCATCCTTTTCAACTAACAAAACTTTTTTCGACTGACTTGAACTGAAAAACGTACATTTGCATTTCTTTCTATGTCCGTTCGTGTGCACAGACCAGCTGTACGTGATGGGCTGTGAGTGGAACTATCGGAGTGACCACTGCAAGTATATGAGCGTATGTCCCTCGGCGGAGAAGCGTGGCGTGGCTGTTCTTCACGGGTCCAAAAGAGGTTTTCTTGTAGAGAAACAGCCAGCGTTTGCTGCAGTCTACAACGTCTTCCATAATGTGAGGGTTTTGCTATTGCCATTCTTTCTATTCTTGTTTGAATATCAGTGCAAAATTCTTTCTGGGTCAAGAATATCAATATAGAATGGACTAAAATTGCCCCCTTTTTTCCCCACTTTTGGGAAATTTGATTTGTAATGAAATACCTATGTAACGACCTACCTACTACCTACCCACCGCCCACTTTCCACCCTCTTACCTCATGCATACCTATTTACCAACCAACCTTCCACTAAAGTTGTTTTTTTCATTTGGGCATCGTTTTTCTGTTTCATTGCATCTTCATAGTATAGCAAAAATGAACATAAAAAATGGATGTCAGTATTCTTGTATGTACATACAGTATAACACGGATTGCACGAATTCGTCACGACTGGCCTCGGTAGTTCAAGAATTCCGTAGTTCTAGGGATACGTGAACAGTGTTATGGTATCGGCTGTGTCAGAGAATCAAGGGAAGCAACAAAGATTTGGTCGGAACTGAGATTTTTCCTTTTTCGGCCATTGTCCTTGATCAGATATGTTAGATCTATGCCTACTGACTTTAATTTGAAATTTGAGAGAATCTGAAATTGACAGATTGAGAATGAGAAAAACGATAAGAAACGCTTTCGAGTTCAATCGGTAGTGAGCCTACCTGTACTTAGACAGTTTAATTGCGCGGGTCAGTGTGAGCAGTCTGTAGTCTGCACCAATCGAACGGTGCCTTTTCAAATTTTTCATAACATGAACTATTTGACAAGATAAGCATATATCGCATCAGTAATCAACAACGCGATGACAAAACAATGCAGCCCTACCCCACCTCTCCGACCAAGCACACAGTCTTTTGCAAAGAGGGATGGGGCGGCCGATCATGTGATGCACAGCTCTTCTTCTGGCCCACTCCAAACTAGCTAGGCCTAGGACCTAGGTATACGCAGAGGGCACACGTGTCGAGCAGCACGCTAAAAATAGCACTGTTAGCTGCTTCTGTGGAAGTGGGGGAAGTGGTATTTTACCAACCTTGCCTTTTTCAGTGTTTATTATTATTATTTTGTCTCAAGTGCACCTCAAAGGACATTGACTTTAGACCTCTATGGCGGTGTAGTTACATCGACTATTCTGTGTTTGTGTTCGAGCTTCGCGTAATTTTCTTATCTAACAATGATAAAGAAGGAAAAGAAAAAACGGGACCGTAGGCACAGTTCGACGGAGGCGTGATTTCGAGTAATCTGTGTTCGACCTATCCGAGTTATACTGTATGTATATGTGTGTGTGTGGGAGGGGATGTGGGGGTGTGTGTGTGTTTATGTGTGTGTATGTATATAATATGTGCATCTGTGTCTTTGTTTTTCCCCAACAGTATTGTCTTACTCATTCTATTTGTTTATCTGATGTACTGCTTCAATTTATGCATTTGCCGAGTGATATGTTATAATGAGGGGAAGTATGGACTAAATGCCTTTAAAATCTGTGAAATTATCTCTCTATCTTCTCTCAATTTCAGCATCGTCTGGGTGACAACTTTGAGATCCATTTCCTTAAACACCTTGAAGAAGAGTTGAAGGCAGCGAAGCCATCAAACTGTGGGAAGGTGTCGAACGCTTTCCTGATGCGGCTCAGAGATGTGGTGGAAGTGGAGAACAGCAGAATGACCTCTGGCCAGGTGGGTCTGTGAGTGTTGTACCCAACCAGTTCTGTCAGACTTTCATAGTTTTTTTAGTGGCGTCGGTGGCCTAGTAGTTAGGCTAACGGACTCGTAATCATGAGGTTGTTTGATCGGGGGTTCGAGCCGCGGGCCCGGCGTTATGTCCTTGGGAAAGGCACTTTACACGAATTTACCTCACTTCACCCAGATGGAAATGGGTACCCGGCCATAGACAGTGAAAGATCTTGTCAGCATGTTAGTGTTTTAACGCCTATAAATGGCTGCGTGCACTGTATGCTTCCCAGGAAGTTGAGCTTGTTTCAGGGTGCTCTCAGGTCTGCTGGGGTAATGGTATAGATTGTGAACGCATAGAGCTTGTTCTTGAGCGGCGATTTGCGCTACACAAATGCTATCTATTATTATTATTATTTTAGTATGTTTTTAAGGGTCTAAGTACATAAGTACATTTTTGTGTCTAGAAATATGTATTCTCTTTTCTAGTATTGCTCCTCCTGGACTTGCCGATGATGAAGAAAAATTTCTGAACTTTTGAAACAGGATTTGCAAATAATCGTTACAAGGAAGACCATAAGTCAGTAGGAGAGACCTGTTCCAAACATTTTTGACAGTAGTTGCAGGTTTGCTTGGAGTAGTTTGAATTTATTGCATGCAGAAAAGTGTGTGTGAAGGATTTGGAGGGGGATTGTTTGTACAATGCTCATCACTTTGACCAGCCACCTTTGTAGAGTCTGTTTTTTAGTTTTGAAAAGTTGGCAGCTATGAACATATTTCTTTTGTTTCAGGAAAGAGAAGCACTTGTAAGTGGTTTAACCCCTTCAATGCAGCAGGTAAATAGCCCCTGTGCTGGGGGAAATCCCGTGAAGCAAGGCCGCTTAGGGGTGACCCTACTCTACCTCCTGTAACTTTTTAATTTATGAATATTTTCTCATAAATTTGTGCATGTACTTTCTACTTTGAACCACATTTCTATGAATTTAATTTTGGAGGGATTTCATTGAGAGATAGATTTAGAAAAGTTGGAGTTGGTAACATGATGCCAAAAACACCACCACCGAACAACATTAACAAGACACATTCGAGTAATGATAAACAGAGACCCCCCCCAAAAAAGGGGAATACATGTTGTGTGAGTGTCTGCAGGTAAATAGGAAGTGACAAGAGGCTTTTCCTACCTTATACAGCACTCGTACAATCCATATATATATTTATATATACACGTAAGCCCATTTGTGTTAACTGCCAGTAAATCGTTTTTGTGTGATAGACGTGTATATCGTAGATCGAATCTGACGCTTTCAAATGGGGAGAAAATGGAGGTAAACATAAAGGGAAGGTACCTCAAAAATAATTACAAGATTTTAGCTGTAACTTCCCCTATAATTGGTATCAGAACAATCTCTGTCACAGTTCCGTAAATCCTACAGGCCATAGGCACAGCGATACACGGTTCAGGCCCATAAATTCTACGGGCGCGGCAGGGAAGAGGTTAAAGACACCCTTGGTAGGTGCAGTTAAAATTGTCCCCGAAGATCACCCATTGTTGAGGAGAAAAGAGGTAGTCTTAGACAGATGGATGCCTTGGACAGTATCATCATTATGTACTTTGTTTTTAAAGGCAAGGGGCCATGGGATGGGGGTGGGGGGTTACTTGACTGTAAACCCAAGACTTTAGCTTTTAGCCTTATTATTGTTATTATTATTATTGTAATTGTTGTTGTTGTTATTGTTTTCATTAACATTACCATATTATTCAGTCTATGCCATTAAACATATACACATATGCGGCTACAATAGTATTTGCTGATTCCACAACATGGATTTCTATACTCACAGAAATGTAAGTGACAACATTTTCTGTTTTTCAGGAATATCCAAAGGTTAGCATAAATTCTCAACCTAGCAAAAATTTGATAAAATCTGGCTTGAAAAGTGTGGACACAAGAATGCAGAAGCAAGTGCATGGAGGTCAAGAGAAAGTGTCTGGTCGTTTCACGGACAGTTCTCGGACAAAGACGGGTAAAGTTCATGACAGGCGCATCACTGTGAGAAGTGACCCCAAGCTCACTGTGAAAAGTAATGGCAAGCCAGAGGTGGAGCTAAAGTCTGGCTCTCTTCATCGCGCCCGAGATATAGCCAAAATGGAAGAAGCAAACAAGCAGTATGATGATGATTCGGACACGGTGGAAAAGTTAAAGGATAAACATTGATGTTGGTTTTTGGCTGGAAGCCAAGGTGTTCTTTCTCTTTTTATCTGAAGGGCTCGGTGACAAAATGAGCTGAATCAAAAGTTCTTGAACTGAGAAAATTGAGGGAGTATACCATCAGTGTCTTAAAGATAATGCCATAATCAAACCTCTTGCACATGTGTTACAGAAGAATGCAAAAGGGAAAGTTCAAGTTTGTCTCAGTTTTGTGTAAGTGAAATGCTCTTTTAGACACACATACAAAGGTGAAAGTTTTAGTTAGTCTGATTTGCTTGAGCATAACACTCTACAGTGGAAACCTGATATAGCAGGGATGGTGGGAGTAGAGAAAATGTCCTGTTATATCCGATCCCTGTTAAATCAGAAATGCAAGGAAAGTAAGCATTTGTGGACTAATCCAGCTGTACTTATTCATGGGTAGTTTCCCTAGCCACAAGTACCCACGAACAGGGGTTTTAGAACCAACTTTCTCCTTGCCTCCTTAAACCATACCAGAAGAGCTTGGTCGTCAGCATCTGCATCGGATAGTCTCATCTTCTTTCGATCCTGAGCAAACTTTCCATCGGAGTATGCTACCACTATCTTCTCTCTATCCTTGATAATGATGTGAATCGACCCTAGTGGAATGTCGAACTGATGACAAATCTCTGCCAGTGGAGCTTGCTTTTTGTCAACAGCCTGGATTATTTCGTATTTTTTGTCAATTGAAAGGCATTTTCTCGTGCCCTTGACATCGTTGGTGACACATTACGCGTGCGTGTTGCTAGGTTTCGGGCTAGATCGAGGTCTGCAGCACACCGCAGCCCTCTCTCGCTTCACACGCTGCGTGTGCTTGCAATTTCTCTCTCTCTCTCTCTCTCTCTCTCTCTCTCTCTCTCTCTCTCTCTCTCTCTCTCTCTCTCCCTCTCTCCCTCTCTCTCTCTCTCTCTCTCTCTCTCTCCTCTCTCTCTCTCTCTCTCTCTCTCTCTCTCTCTTACTTTTTACACATTGTTAACGAACCTTTGTCCCTGCTATAACCGGTTGAGCTCTGATGATGCCCTGTTATTGCCGATAACTTTTAATAGAGACAAAGAGTGGGAAAAAACGGGGATTTAAAATATCCCTGTTATTACCGGATCCCTGTTATTACCGGGCCTGTTATATATGGTTTCCACTGTATTAGACTCACATGCAAAGGTAAAGTTCAAGATAGTCAGTTTTGTATGAGTGAACCACTCTATTAGACCCACATAACGTCACCGTGACAAGAGAAATGTCTCCCTCCAAATGACCTTGCTTTACAAGGTGAGTGAGTTAAAATATGTGAGAGCTGCTCATCTTTCTTGTGACAGCAGCAATAATTCCCACAAATGGGGATATAGAATAACAAAACAATGACTTCTAGTACTAAAGAAGTCGTGGAAGACAAAGTTTCTTTCTAGGAAAATAAGTTTTGTCAACATAGTGACTCTGTTGCAGAATGTGAGTAAAGCAAGTGGCATTTTTTTTCTTTTCTGATATGTTGCTGTTTGTAGGTTTGCGACAGAGGAGCCCTTCGTTTCTCGAAACCATGTTCCTCTTGCTGGGACCAGCTTGACGGCCAGTGCTTGCCAGCTGGCATTAACTCATTCCTGTTGTTGTATTTGTGTAGCAACATGACAAAATGAGTTGTTTGTCGCACTCCACTGTTTCGACCAGCTCCAAGATACTATAAGTTAAGAACCAAAGCAGCTGGATAGATTAATCTTGTTTTCGCCCTTTTGTAGTTTGTAGGGCTTGAGTAGATCTTCAATTTGATACCCATAGTATTTTATTGTGGAAATGTGACATGTGACTCATTTTGTCAAGCTGTTACACTTATGGTTACCTTTTTGTCAGCTCTGAGTCTCACTCGGATGGGATAAGTGGACGATGTGTGCATGGCATTCTACTTGAAAGAGTTTTGTGAAATGTTTTGACACTTTCTACACTGAAGATCTCAAAGGCTGATAATTACAGTGTTGTTTCTGATAGTTGTTTTCTTAGGAAATAAGACCGTTTCATCTGTCATCATTTCCTCATTGAAAAGAAAAGCAGCTATTACTCTTTGGTTTCACTGGTTTTTCAAGGACATTTCTTGAAATCGAGGAGTCATGGATGACCGAAAGTTTTTATTTCTTGATAACTGTGTACAAAAACAAACAATAGGTAGTGTAGAACATAGTGATGAAAGTTGTTATAAAAGTAATAATAAATTGCTTTTATTCTGTGCTCTCTCCCATATATATAAGTATAAGCTCTGAGCATTAACATTGATGACATGATTCCTGATAATAAACCTCGCACACAACGAAGAAAAATCATTTCATATTCACACGAAAACTAGTTCAAACTCAAACACATAATGAAGAACTTTCGCTGTACAAGAACCTCTTCCGGTGAGATGCCACTCTTGAGTTCATTGTAAATTGACTTTTTATATAAAATTTAACTTTTGCTTAATGATATTGATTTAGTTCAAATGAGCCTGACATCAAAAAAAAAAAAACCCCATACTTACAGGATGTCCAGCTTTCTTCTTCCTGTCTCTCTGTCTCATTGACTGACCAATGTCTTTCAAAATAAGCTCAAAAGTGTTGTGAATTTTTCCCCTTTCTCAATGAGTATGAGGTGTTTCTATTATTTTTTATCGACTCCTTCATTTTTCTTGTTTAGAGAGTCTGCCAAGTTGGTTTCATCTGTAGTGTTTTTCTTTCTGTCCTGTGATAGTGTTAACTGAAAGTTGTGATGTTCTGTAGGGAATATACATGTATGTATGTACAGTCGAGTCTATCTAAGACAGCCACCCATTGTCGAGGAGAAAAGTGGCCATATTGGACAGGTGGTGGACTTCTCCAGTGTCATTGCAATGTAAAAATACGCAAGGGAGGAAATGAGAGGTGGCCATTTGTACAGGTGGCTGTCTTATACAAGTGGTCGTTGTAGCAAGTTTGACTGTAGTTGTAAATACCAAAGCTGTCCGAGGAATTTTAGTAGTGTGGATGGTTGGAGGAGGTACCTCTGGATTTTCCGACTTCATTTCTCTCTCTGCTTTTTATCTGTCTGTCTCTCTTTTTCCCTTTAAAAAATCATAGTTATCATGTCAATGTGATTCTCTTCACCCAAACAAAGAAAACAAAAATAAGCAACTCCTCCAAAGTTTTTGACCGCCCCCCCCCCCCCCCCCCCCTGTGAAGCAGGGTCGAACAGAGTTGCTCATTAATTTTTTTACATATATTTTATTTTATTTAAATATTTAATTTTCCAAGAAACAACTCGAGTCCGTTTTTCTTTGTGCACACAACATTCCTTCACAGACTGAAATTGTTTCCAATATTTGAAATAAAGAGAATCTGTTGCAAGAAAAGTGGGCAGAGTTGGCTTAAACCAAAATCTGGGGGACTCGGATTTTTCCCTGTTTTGAGATCGACCTTGTTCAGCTTTCAGTGGACTCCTGTATTTGAATGCGTATCAAATTAAAAAATTATTATTGTTTATAGTATGAGAATTTAAGGATTTTGGCTCAGGCTATGCAAATTTTATGTTGGCTGATTTCTGAAGATCAACCAGTTTTTTTGTCTAAAATTAGCATGGATACAATTGAGAAAGTCTTTATTCTCCTGGTAAATTGCCTTTGAAAACATAAGGATGGATTGATATAGTGAATTTTCTCAATTATAGTCGTTTTTCGCAGTATGTATTTTTTTTGCAGTTTTTCCCCTACTCCTTCCATAGTTTTCATCCTTTTGACGTGAAACTTTCAGGAAACATAGATGGCAAGGCTGCCATCAATGTAACAGAGAGATATTTGCGAAAAAAATTACACTTTTCCGTTGGCAAGTGATTACGCAACCTAAATTTAGAAAAAGTTTTTTATACTTTGGGAAAATTCTCTTCTTTTTTTTTTCTTTTTCGCTTATTGAAAAAAACTTGCTGTTACTCTGATAGGGTCTGGTTCAGGTATACTCTCACCAAATTTAGTCAAATTTGATCGGTAAATAAGAAAGCCTTGTGGGATTTGAAATTCATTGTTTATTTTCAAAATGCTGGCCGTTTCCATAGCAACTGCTGCAGCTATGCCAATAATTGCGTATCAAGAGATTTTACTATGTCTAACTTATATATGTGTACTTAGTTTTGATCTCTGGCCACAAATATAGAAAATGGCGCTTACGGGGGAGTTCCTCCCGTTAATGTCTTTTGTGCATCATTTCTTTCAATTCTGAGAACCACACATACATTAATTCTTTATTTCGCCTTTCTTGCTCCCTTCTCATATTTTATCATAGGAAGCTCTGTCTTTGCCATATTTTTGTGTACCATAAATTTCTCTTGCAGTATAAAAAAATATTTAGTGAAAACTGTAAATATCTACTGTAAAATTAAAATCATGTATTATACAGTGTGAATGGGACAAAGCAGGGTTTTCTGTCAGGTACTCTTAGTTAGTACCTCTTGCAATATGAACAATATAATTTATAGCCTAAGGAGCTGTTTACTTTCATATTTCAAGATATATACAATAAATGTACCCTACATTTGTCCTTAAAATTCTCATATTTTGTGTTTGTACATGTAGTGGGGGGGAGAAGAAGGAGTGAATGAGTGAGAGAGGGAGTAAAAAAAGGTGATACATAAAGAGAGAGATGCGGAGAGAAAGAGAGGTGATGTGTTGAACTGATATGATACTGTGTATACATATTTTTTGTGGTTGAAGCTGGTGAAAACACAGTTGTCTTTTTTTTTTCCAGTAGATGATCTTTAAAGTACAATGGCGTTTGCTTACTTAAACCGAAATCTGTCGAACTTCTGAATTTTCCTTGGTTTAGCCAGGGCTTTTTTAATTCAAAGAAGTTGCTCTAGTGGAAGGGAAATTAAATTGAGGATTTTATCTTCTTTCTGTTGACCTCTGTTTTCGGATTAACAGTGTTCGGTCTTAGCAGACTCCACTATCTCTATCTTTATCTTATATACTTTTTTTACACACTGAAAGAGAAAAAGACAATCGTTTTCTTTTTGTTTTCAACCTGCTTTGTTACACTGGAGGTGACACTTTTATTCATTTGTGTTCAGACTTGTGGGAAGAGAAAGGAAAGTGGAGCGGCCTTTTTTTGGTGAAAGTTAATTTCGATACCTCCCCCACCCCCACCTCCCACCCTTACCCCATTCTTTAACTCTTTATCT